GGATCAGGGTCCTCATAGACTAAATCTGATATGTTAGGGTTGGGGTTTAGGCTTTGTTGGATTTGACCCATGCTGATGTCGTATCGCTTTGTTCCATCCTGCAAATATATCTTGTATTGTTTACATCCCACTGCAGATCAGAGAATAAAAGGACACTTCCTCCTGAGTAGCCAAACACATCAGAGCAGCACACTGGGCCTGTCGATCAGAAAAAGAAGCGTCTCAGAAATACAAGAATCTCTCAGAGCTTTCTGTGTTCAGTGTAAATAAGGCCTTGCTCTCAGTCCTGGCTCCTCCCACCAGCACCAGTGACCAAATACTGAATTAAGCAATGAGAGAGAGAACGCTTGACATGTAAGAATGTTTCTACACTGTCGCAGCCCTGAATGAGAAATGATCATAATTCTAGAATTGATCACTTAAATATGCCATTTAAGTGTTTTTAATAATAAAATTACATTTTTTCTTCTTATACAAACTATGAAAATAGTTGTCAGCTTAGGAATCAAGTCAAGTCAAAGTTTTGTATAGCGCTTTTTACAACAGGTGTTTATCACAAAGCAGCTTAAGGCACCCGATCAAGGCAGATGAAGCAACAGCTTCAGACCCACAGGATGGGCAACTGTTCAGCTCAGCAAAGAGACACACAAGAAGTTAGTTCTGTTAATACATACTGATTACAGCATACAGTCTTAAGAGAGTGAGGCAGAGACTCTGGCAGGTCGAGCTATTACAGCCTAACTGAAAAGGAGAGACAGAAGGTAACAGAGACATGAGGGCTCCCTGAGATGTCAATGCCCCTCCGCTCCACTGTCAACAGATTTGAAAGCATGAGAGCAGCAGTACGACAGCACTGTCACCCCAAGCCACCACAATGCTCAATGTCCATGAACCCCAGATCTGCACCCTTTATTTAACGGAAAACAATAATTACCAAAGGCTTGACTAAAGAAGTAGATTTTTAGCCTAGACTTAAAGACTGAGGCTGTGTCTGAGTTCTGAACACTGACTGGAAGATTATTCCAGAGCTGGGGGGCTTTGTATGAAAAGGCTTTGATAAAACTAGGCTGATATGGTCAAACTTTCTGGTTCTTGTGAGAACTGCAGCATTCTGGACTAACTGAAACTTGTTAAGGCTTTCGCTGGAAAATCCAGACAACAGGGCATTACAGTAATCAAACCTTAACCCTTAGGGGCTTAACCCTTAGGGTGTTTTTTTCCCCCCGTTTTTGTCAGTTCCTCTTTCAGTTGTTGTAACTCTAGTAATTATATGAGACAGCCACATGTTATATGTTGTTTTCTTTTCAGAAGACATGTGGCTTCTCAAATATGTAATCACCTGAGTTGTAAATGCCCACAGAAGTTTGATATTTTTATGAAACTGGACGTTTTGATAAAAATTTGACCAAGCGCCTGTTTTTTTTTTTTTACTTATTTTTGACTGTATCTATTCAAAACATCAGTGCACAGCTTAGATGTCAATTAGAAAGCTTTAGGATAAGGTGTCTATGAGCTAAAATATAAGAATTTTGATGATTGTTCATTACATGGCTTATTACTGTGACATAGTATATGAGTAGCATCAGGCAGACTTATTTTTCTTGATATTCTCACGTAAAGGAGACATGCAGATTGCTAAAACTGCATGTGACAGACTGACACAGCAGGTCAAGCCTTTGACTTTTTTGTTCAGGGCCAATAAGGCTAATATTCCAGCTAATAAAACACTGTTTTAGTACACTGGGTGTTTATTATCAGCTGCTTATAATAACATTTACTCCTATAATAAAGAATCCTTCCAGAAATGATCAGATAAACACTGGTTTATTTAGAAAACACACAATAAAGAACTATGTACCATAATATAACTTGAAATCTATATCAGTCCAGTGGTGTTGGACGGACGCCAAAAGACTCTGAAGGTGCGCGCGCATCTCTTCAGTTCTAGATGCGCGTGCACGTGTCCAACGCGCCGTTCAGTAAGTCCAGACCTGCCTTGTCACCAGTCTCCATTGAAGGAGTAGATGTGGAGGTAGTAGGGACGGACTAATATCTGGGTGTTTGGAACTGTAACACTCACGCTGTGTACAAGAAAGGCCAAAGCTGGCTGTACCTCATGAGGAGGCCGAGGTCCTTTGCTGTGTGCACAAAGCTCCTATGGACACTCTACCAGTCTATTGTCGCGAGGGCTTTATTCTATGCTGTTGTGTTCTGGGGCAGCAGCATTAACAAAAGTGCTCTGAACAAAATTAAACAAACATATTAGGAAGGCTGGCTCTGTTGTAGGAGTCAAGCTGGACTCTCTGGAGTTTGTGGCAGAACAAACAACCCTCAACAAGCTGTTAGCCATCCTGGACAATACCTAACACCACCTGCATGCTACACTTGAAAAACAGAGAAGCTCATTCAGTGGCCGTCTGTTACAACTGCGCTGTGTGAGATCTTTCTTACCTACTGCTATAAGATTTTACAATTCTTCTAACTGCAGAGATGGTCCTGACTTCCTGCTGCCTGAACTGTTCTGAATCGCATCACTATATCACCTCTCTTATTAATACCCGCTGCAAATTATCATAACCTGATATTCTTTTTGTCTCACTTTTTACTCTAATTTATGTCTACCTTTTATTTCTGCCTAATTTGTCTATATTTATTTCTACCTAATGCATGTAAGTTTATGTACAAGTATATGTATTGCTAATGTAACAAGTTTTATCTATTTCTGTTGACACAGATTTAAAAAAAAAAAAAAGAAATGAAGATGGAGCGTATTTTTGAAAATGTATTCGTTTTCATCCCAGAAATGTTTGACTCGCATCATTGAGAAATCTTCTGGAAATTGCAGTGTCTTAAGAGTATATTTGTTTTTTGGTGGTTGCATTGCAGAGTAGTAATAGTAGGCATTACATTTGAATGAGTATGTAATATATTTTGAATCATTTTACTCAATAACAGATTGGAGTGTATTGGAGTGTATTGTAGTGTCAGCGCAGAAGAAAACTCAATCTGCCATTTCCTGTCAGGACAATGCTCTTTATTGATCAACAGGCAAAGAAGAAAACTAAATCTTGAGGGAAATGAGGGACAGGTCATTGACAGCAAAGCACACACAAATACGGTGAACCAATTCAAAAAAGAATAGTTACTGAAAGTGCACAGTTTAACACACCCAACGTGTACACAAGTATTAAACTCGCAAACAACAACATTAATTGTCCTTTTAACCAAGAGTATAGTGTCTACCAAAAGCCATTTTGCTTGGCCACACCCCCTCAGCTTCCTGTGGCACTGCGGCCTGTGGCGGATGACAGGGTATAATGACAACTTGGCTGAGTAACCAACCACATCAGACATGCTCATGTTCACGTTAAAATCAAACATCTCACTCATGTCAGTAACCATCACTCAAATGTAGCACGTAGATCTACTCCAGTTTCCAATAGAGAGACAAACCAGAATAAAAAACTACAATAACTGTCACACAAGCAGTGACAAATATAGAATGTCTAATCTGAGACCAGATTCAGTCTAAAGATGATGAGCATGTTCACTTAAAGAGAAGCTCACAAAAATGTGTTTTACTTCACCCAAAGTTGTTTAAATACTTCTTAAAATCGAATTATGGTAGTCTTCATAACGTATAACTCTCTGTATGTCTCCTCATCACCACCTCTGTATTTTTCTTTTTGGTTCCTCTTTTTTTTGGTGTCAGAGTTTCTCAACCTCAGTGCTCCTCCCACCAGCACCACTGACCATGAAACAAAGTAATAAGAGAGCGCGCCATCTGCTGGTAGTGAGAGTCTGCTTTGGCACTAGGGCAGCCCTGAATGATAAAATGATCGTAAATTTGGGGTTATTAGAAATTAGCTTTTCAAAACATCAGGTGATTATTTGGGTTTAGTCCAATGTCTAAGAATATCGGAATACTGTGTGCATGTAAATGTAGCTATTGACACACAGACATTGGAACTTGAATTCTCCAGATGGGTAAGAAGGTGATGGAAAAAAGCCCTCCAGTGTGGGAAATTTCTGGCACATAAACCTTTATCAGGACTATTTGCTGGCTTGATTGCAAGGACATGTTATGTGTCCTCAAAGGAAATTTGAAAAAAACTTTTTAAAAGTTTCTTCTTCCTGTTCTGGGGAGAGAGCACTGCTAGTGTCCTGTGTTGAAGTGGGAGATGGTGCTAGGTGAGGTGTATAGGTGGCAGGGGAAACTTTAAAAAAAATCTTGTTAATTACAAAATAATGCATTCCAAGATTTGATAAGTTTATTGAATGTAAAATGCACAAAATATACACTGTTAGAAATGAAGGTTCTGTGCAGGTACCTTTTTTTGTTCATCAAGGTACAAACAATGTAAATGTTCCCTCAAAGGTACAACAGTGGTTTTAAGGTCCAGTTGTGAACCCTAAATAAGGTTTTCTCAGATGAAAAGTTCGTATTTGTACCTTTTCCATAACCGAATGTTTTAAAACAGAATAATAAAATAAGTCTGGAGACGAGACGGGGTGTGAAGTCAGTACAGCTTAGAAAATATCATTTCAGTAGGTTATGGTACAGTTATGTTCCCTGACTAAAGGTACTGAAATGTACCCTTGAGGGTTCCACTGCAGTGACAGTTTTGTACCTTTTTTTCAGATTGTATGGTGAAACAACTGGAAACCATAATGACCGAGAATAGAGGTCGGATTTTTGATAGCTTATAACTAATAAGCTGCTAAGAATTAAGTTGCAGACATATTAAAAGAAAATCTTTAGAAGCATAAACAAATTGATCAAGCAGCAAAGCATGAATTTAGCGATTATAGAGATGTTAAACTCTCCAGCTGAAATATTCTTGATTTTTCTTCCATTGTTGCAAACTCAGACAAGTAAGTTTACACTGGAAACAAAAAAGCAAACAAAGAAAACAAGAACCAAAACAAGAACCTTATGTTGTGATTAGTCTGGAAGGAACCAGAGTATTGAGGGAGGAGTCCATAAACTCAGGTAATTTGGGTGTATTTGGTAAGCTTCTCAGACAACTCAAATCAAAAGTCTAGCTTTGACCAATAAGAGAAGACATTTCTAATGGGGAGTTATCACTGGTTCTTATGTTGTAGCTGAGAAACACTGCTTTGTGAAATACCCCCCTCATCCACTGCTGTTGATGTTCACGTTCTCATAAATGAAATCTGATTGGTTGGTGTTGTCATCCATTTTCTCATAGTCATAATCTGATTGGTTGGAGTTTGGATCAGGGTCCTCATAGACTAAATCTGATATGTTAGGGTTGGGGTTTAGGTTTTGTTGGATTTGACCCATGCTGATGTCGTATCGCTTTCCACGTGGAACATTTTCATAATCATCATCATTCTGAAATCAGAGGAGGGCACTTAATACAGGCAGATCATAGAGAAACATTCTGCAGTCCACATATAACAGTTTATATTCTGAGATGTGGAAAAGACACTATATTCCATAATTTATGTGTCTTAATTGAGTAACTGAGATTAGTTTCACTCACTTCGTTATTTTTGTCTGTTCTCTGGCCAGTCGAGGCCGAGTCTGTGGAAGAAGATGTAAAAATAATAGCCATACAAATATTTGTGTGTAATATCCATCGCTGTCCCCTAGAGGGAGACTTCAGATTTAACTTTTGAATGGGGGACTAAAGGACGTCATGTAAACTAGTAATCTGCATACCCTGTATCATGTGGTTTCTCAGTTTGTAGATGATCAGTGCTGCTCCTCCAATCAGCAACAGAGCCACACAGACACATACAGTGATGATGACAGAGGAACCTCGAGCTGAGAGGCAGAGAAAAACAGGCCAAGCACTCAGTATTACAGTCAATTTAGAATGTCCTTACATTAATCACGAATGTCATAACACAGATCAATTTAAGCAAACGCAAATTTAAAATGTATGTATCTCACCAGTAACCTGTAGCTGAATCTCTTTGAAGTAGGAGTAATAACCCACTGACTTATCCTTCCTCCACACTCCACACAGATAAAGTCCTCCATCATCTTCTCTCACATCACTGATGTTCACACTGAAGACTTTAGATCTTCTGTCATCAAAGATGGAGAATCTGCCTTTCTGCTCTTTCTGAGACTCTTGTCCAGTGCAAATTATTCTTTTAACTGGATTTTGATCTTTGAGGTTGATTAGGTACTTGCTGTTTATCTTAAACTCATCTGGATGGTTACAATCGAAGGTGGCCGTCTCTCCCAGATAAGCATTCATTTTTTCAATAGTACCACAGCAAGCATCTGTCAGTCACATGAACAAACATACACAAACTACAGTTCATTAATCAGCTGATTAAATCTGAGCATGTTTGGGAGCAGTGTCTTATTTTTTTATCATTATTTTAATATTAATGTTTTAGAAACATTTACAGTTTAAACTGGTTAAAATCTCTCACCATTCTGAACAGTCAGATTGATGTCCTTATGTTTTTCATTCCCAACTCCAAATCTGTACACGGCAGAATCCTGTGGGTTCAACTCTCTGATCAACACTGTAAACTCTCCATTTACATTTGAATACATCTTGAATCTCCCGCTAGTAACAGACCTGCTCTTAGTCTGATTCTTCATTATATCTAGACAGCTACTTTGTTCCATCCTGCAAACATATCTTGTATGGTTTACATCCCACTGCAGATCAGAGAATAAAAGGATACTTCCTCCTAAATAGCCAAACACATCAGAGCAGCACACTGGGCCTGTCGATCAGAAAAAGAAGCGTCTCACACATACGAGAATCTCACAGAGCTTTCTGTATTCACTTTTGCAGTATAAACATAACTGTAGCTCACAGAACTAACATAGTGCCCAACAGAGGAACAAATGATAATATATAACTGCACTTGCTGTTGTATTAACTGTGATTTAAAGTTGAATATCTCACCTGAGATCAGGTAGAAGGTGGAGATGAAGATCTTCATCCTGAACTGAAGGATCTTCATCCTGAAGTTCAAAGAAATTCAAATCTGATTTTCCTGATAGTGTCCTTTGTCTCCTCTCACTGCTGTGAACACTAGAGACAGCGGAGTGCACCCCACCCACTGATATATGTATACATATATAAAAAAGGGAAGTGAAGTCATCTTTTAAGAAGACACTCAACTTCAAAGCCCCTCCCACCAGCACCACTGAACAAATACCAAGTTAAGCAATGAGAGAAGGAACACTTGACATGTTAGACTGTTTCTGCACTATCACAGCCCTGAATGATACATGATATAACTTGAGTTGATCAATAGAAATATGTTGTATAAAATGAATGTACACATCCAGTAATATGATCAATATCTGAACTGTGAGAAGAAAGCCTTCATCATGGTAAGTAAATGGTCTGTTGTATTCTGGGTTTTATGTCATATTTTAGCCTCTCCTGTATTTAGTTGGCAGATCACAGAGTCACAGAAAGGTCAACCAATATGGCCTATAACTCACTCTAACTATATAATTTTCATAGTTGTATGGGCAATCTTATTTTAATAGCCTGTGGCATCTTCCCTGTTTCTCTCTTTCTAACTGTGCTACAACTTCCGTTCTCTCACCCTCTTCTCTCTTGAAGTGTAGAAGGTGTAAGGTTTTCCCCCCCATGTACTGGTTCACACCCACAGCTCGCACGGTAAAATATTTCTGTACAAACTCTGTCTGTTAATGATGTGTTTAAATATTGTAAGCTTCACTTCTAATTTTAATTTAACACACCTGAGTCCTTCCCTCAGCAATGATGAGCTATTACAAGCACCCTCATTCTGACCGATCAGCTCAGAGTCCAGAGTTCAGCCTAAACTCCATATGAGTGTCAGTTTTAGTTCTGTTTCTAATACACACACACAATATTGTAGCGTCGTAGGCAAAAGAAGAAACTCAGGGGTAGCCAAGATTCTGCTGCAAGAAGAGTTCTTTATTCGACACGCCAGCGGAAGAGGCACAGCCAGAGCACTGAACTCGTGAGGGAGGTCAACTCTAGCCAAACACTTTAACCTGACAGCGACCCCAACTCACACACAAAACCCATAACAATAGCCTGCTCCACGGAGGTACCCATGTTATTCACCACTAACATTTGCAGTAAAATATATATATATATATATATATATATATATATATGTGTGTGTATATATATATATATATATATATATATATATATATATATATATTTAAATAATTTGCTGTAGAGGTTCAGTTCATTTGTTTTCACTTAAGAAATCAACAACCTGTAATTTGGCCAGGGGTTATGCATCACGCATTTCAGATTGCTCAGAGCTTTTCAGTTCTGGTTCACTCTGCAAGTTCCCTGCAAGTTAGCTATCAGGTTAGTTTCACACATCATATTAGTGCATGATGCATGGTTCAGCAGTTCTTGTTAAGCTTTTGATCTAATCTCACTATGTGTCCTCTGTGGTTTAGAGCTTCCTGTTCTTGTTGTGGCCAGTGTGTGCAATTAATTTGTCAGTAACTTACAGCACAAATAAACATGTCTGTACTACTGAAGTGTTTTCATGTTTTATAAATCATAAAATCACCAATAATGCTACGTTAATCTTTCACAATTATTGACTGACAGTTATCATAAATTTGTTCCCTAATTATGCCGTCAACTAAAAGAAGTCCTGAATGCAGTGATTGCACAGGTTAAACAATCTTCTGTTATTGCTAGGATGTTGCGAGATGGTTTTGATGATGATCCTGGTGGTTGCCAGGGGATTGTTAGGCAGTTTGTATGGCATTCCAAGTGTTTGCAAGGGTGTTGCTAAGGGGTTACTAAGTAGTTTATATTGTACCACCTTGGCATAGAAGAACCAGAGAAACATTGTAAGCATGCTGGCAAATGCTCTTTTATTGAACGGGCAGCAAGGGAGAACCACCAGGTGCTATTCAAGGTGCCGGGATAGCGGGCAGGTCACTTCTACCCATACACTGTCTTTACCCTGAGCACTTAAATGACACCAACTACCTCACAGCCCAGCACAAAACGGCACAAGGAACATATCTACACAAATAACAGTCACACAACAGCAACGTAACCATTAAATATCTCTCCTTACCAGGAGCGCTACATGTCCATTTTGCATAGCCATGCACCCCACGTTCCTATGGCAGCGTGACCAGTTGCCGGATGCCACAACATTACTCTAGGTTGTTGCTAGTATTTTGCCATATGGCTGTTCTAGTATTGGAGATGTTTACTATGTACCTATATGGTTAATATGGTGTCTCTGGGGGTTCTAAAGTATTCCAAGTGTTTCCTAGGCTGGTATTAGGTTGTTTCTATGGCATTCCAGGTGATTGCTAGGACGTTGCCAGTTGACTTGTATCATAGTGACATAAAAGTGACCTACAGACTTTTAACCTCATGGTGTACAATGTCTAGCAAAATAAGAAGTTTACATAAGTAGAATTCTTATCTACTTATCGTTCTTATATACTTTAGGATGTTGAGCATTCCACCATTCATTCCTATAGGAGAAAATCAGTCCAGAAACAGTGGTTACATGTAAATTGTCCATCCAGTCAAAAATCTCTTGAGCTTTAGGTCACAGACTGATGGGCAGACATTCTCCTTCAGAATTTTCTGATATAGAGCAGAATTTATGGTGCCTTCAATTATGACATTGATCATCCAGTCATCTAGTTCCTGCAGAAGTAAAGCAGCCCCAGACCACCACACTACCACCGCCATGTTTATGGTGAAATGTGGTGTTAGCTTTACGCCAGATGTAAAGGGACCCATGTCTTCTAAAAAGTTCCACCCTTGACACATCAGTCCACAGAATATTATCCCAAAAGTCTTGATGGTCATCTAGCTGTTTTTTTGGCAAATGCCTTTGTGTTCTTTTTGGTCAGCAGTGGTTTGTGCCTTGCAGCTCTGCTATTGGTGCCATTTTTGCCCACTGTCTCTCTTATTGTGGAATCACTTGCATTTGTCGACAATGGCTCTCACTGTGGTCCACTCCATTTTCCAATACAAACAAAACTAGAATAAGCAATATTTACTGTCATATTAGCAATGATTGTATGCCTTCTCGCTGGTTTAGTTGGTTCCTCTTTCTTTGGTGTCAGTTTCTCAACCTCAGTGCTCCTCCCACCAGCACAACTGACCATAAAACAAAGTAGAAGGAGAAAGAGTGCCATCTGCTGGTGGTGAGAGTCTGCTTTGGCACTAGGACAGCCCTGAAAGACAAATTGGCTATATATAGTCACTACAAATTAGCTTTGATTTAGATTTGTTAGATTTGTTTATTATGTTACATAATTTTTTGCCATCAAAAGCTAGTTAACAGTGAATTTTCTCATGATTGCTGTAGTATCTTATGAGTTGGTAATACAAATTGAATTTGTCATTTAATTAGCTGATAACTAGTCTCTGTTGATTGGACAATCTCGTCGCTGTTTTAATGTTTGAATATCAAACTACTGAGGACATCGCTGTCTGCATGCTAGTCGATCAGTGCTGAGAAGTTGCTAAGCAGTGATTGGAGGGCTAAATAAGGTGGAGCTTTGTGGAGAATGTAATGATTTTAACTAGCCAAGATACAGTGACAGTACCAAATCAGATTGCAAGGACATGTTGTCCAAAAATGCACTTTCTATAAAGCTTTCTAAATGTGCTATAAAGTTTCTCCTTCCTATTCAGAAGAAGGAGCACAGCAAGTGTCCTGTGTTGGAGTGGGAGATGGTGTAGTGAACTAGCAGAGGTGTATAGGTGGCAATAAAAAAAAAGGTTCCTAGGCAGAAAACAATGCATTCCAAGATATATTCCATGAAAAGTTAAAAAATTTATTGAATATGAAATGCACAGAATATATAGTAAAATAACTGGAGATCAAACTGACAGAGAAAAGCTAGAGATCAGGCTTTTGATAGTTTATGGCTAATTACAAGAAAGCTTCAAACATTTTCAAAGGAACAATCTTTAGAAATGTAAAATAAATCTTCACAGTTCAAGCAATAAGGCAATTTAAAAATAATACAGATATGCGTTTAACTCTCCTGTTGAAATATTTCTGATTTCTTTCCTTTTGTGGCAATCTTACACAAGTAAGTTTACACTGTACAAAAACAAACAAACCACAACCAAAACCTATTATTTTTTGATTAGTCTGGAAAGAAACTTTTTTTGGGGGGTCATAGACTGAGATTGTTTTTTAAGTTCAAATTTACTAAATTTGGGTGTATTTGTTAAATTTCTCAGATAACTCAAGCAAAAAGTCAAGCTTTGGCCAATAAGAGAGAAGGACATTTTTAATGGGCAGTGATCACTGGTTCTTATTACGTTATAAATAAGAAACCTGCTTTGTGAAATATCCCCCTCATCCACTGCTGTTGATGTTTACATTATCATAAATGGAATCTGATTTGTTGGTGTTGTAAACCATGGTCTCATAGATAGAATCTGTTTGGTTGGTGTTTGGATCAGGGTCCTCGTAGACTAAATCTGATATGTTGGGGTTGGGGTTTAGGCTCTGGTGGACTGGACCCATGCTGATGTAAACACCATCCTGAAATGACAGGAGGACAATTTGTACAGATAAGCAGATCGCAGAGAAACAGTTTGCTGCTCACATTTAATGGATTTTAAGCTGAGATGTGGAAAAGACACTATGTCCCAAAATTTGGCTGTATTAATTCAGCAACTGAGATTATTTTTACTCACTTTATTTTTGTCTGTTCTCTGGCCAGTCAAGGCTGAGTCTGTGGAAAAAGATAATGTTAAAAATAAGTCATATAGATATTTGTGTGTATTCTCCATCACTGTCCTCTAGAGGGAGACTTCAGCATTAACTTTTGAATGGGGGACTAAAGGACACCATGTAAACTAGTAATCTGCATACCCTGTATCATGTGGTTTCTCAGTTTGTAGACGATCAGTGCTGATCCTCCAATCAGCAACAGAGCCACACAGACACATACAGTGATGATGACAGAGGAACCTGGAGATGAGAGACACAATGAGAAGAAGAGGCCAAACACTCAGTATTACAGTCAATTTAGAATGTCCTTACGTCAATCACAAATATGTAATAATGTATTAAAAACTATTA